TGTCCATTTCTTCTGTGTTTTCCATTTTATTAGAGTACAGGTTCTCAAAGTAGGTATTGATGATCCTCTGGATTTCTGCTGGGTCTGTTGTGACTTCACTCTTTTCATTCCTAATTGCATGGATTTGAGCCTTTTCTTTCCTTTTTTTGATATGGGTGGCTAAAGGTTTATCGATTTTATTTATTCTTTCATAAAACCAACTCTTTGATTCATTAATTTTCTGTATCATTCTCTTAGTCTCCATTGCATTGATTTCTGCTCTGATCTTTATGATTTCCTCTTTTGTACGAGCTTTGGGTTTCTTGTGCTCTTCTTTTTCTAGGAGCTTGAGGTTCTGCATTAGGTTATTTGTCTGAGTTCTCTCTGTTTTCCTAATATGGGCATTCACTGCTATGAATTTTCCATGCATAGAAGTGCTTTCTTTGTGTCCCATAGATTCCTGTATGTTGTACTGGCATTATCATTTACTTGTAGAAACTGTCTAATTTCTTCTTCAATTTCCTCTGTGATGCATTTGTTGTTCAGGAGGGTGTTACACAATTTCCATGTATTTGTGGGAGTTTTGTGGTTTCTTATGTTATTGACCTCCACTTTTATTGCACTATGATCTGATAATATACAGGGGTAACTTCAATTCTTACACATTTACTTAGACATGTCCTATGAACTAGCATGTGGACTATTTTGGAGAATGACTCCTGTGCAGCTGAAAAGAATGTGTATTCTGATTTTGTGGAGTAGAATACTCTGCAAACATCTGTTAAGTTGATTTGTTCAATATCTTGGTTCAGTATTAGAATTTGTTTGTTGATTTTTTGTTTAGATGATTTGTCTATTTGTGATAGTGGGGTATTGAGGTGCCCCACTACAATTGTATAAGTGCTTATTTGGTTTTTCATGTCCATTAATATTTGTTTTGTATAGTTGGGGGGATTTGTAGTTGGTGCATATATATTTAGGGTTGTCATCTCTTCCTCTTGGATTGTTCCCTTCACAAGGATGTAGTGACCATCTTTGTCTCTGTTAATTACTTTTGGTTTGAAATCTACTTTGTCTGCAAATAAGATTGCTACACCTGCTTTTTTCTGGGTTCCTGTCACATGAAGAACTGTTTTCCATCCTTCTACTTTCACTATGAATTACCTTTTACATTTGGTGTGTTTCTTGTATACAGCATATTGCTGGATTTTGCTTCTTAATCGAATCTGTCAGTCTATTTCTTTTAATTGGTGAATTGAGGCATTAACATTGATAGTTAAAATTGATATTGACTCACCCTTGTCATGATGTTTTGCTGTTGTTGGCTCTTTTATTTTTTATCCCCCCCCCCTCCCTTTAGTGCCTTACCTTGCCTGGTGGCTTCCTTCTTTTGGACCTCATGGAGTTGTGACCTTCATTGTCTTTTTCTAGGATATTGCTTAGAATTGTTTG